CACACACACACACACACACACACACACACACACACACACACACACACCTCAAATAAAGACCCATGTGGGAATGCAACCCTGCCTAAGAGCCCAGGAAAAGACAAGGGCTTCCTGACAGACCCAGTCCAAGAAGGGCAGGACCAAACATTCCTCATGTCTCCAGGTTAACCTCTTCCTGCCTGTTAAACACAGCTTGTAATTTGCGTTCTTCCAACCCCTGTAACCCACTTCCCTCTGCCCAGTCCTCCCCTGCCAGACCCGCAGGGAAGAAGCCCAACCAGAACCTGGGAAACAATTAGCACTAACTTTACCCAGGCAAGCTGAGGCGTGCAGAGGGATAATCTGGAGGTCCAGGGAAGGAAGGCTGTTTCTGAGGAGATGGGAGGGCCCAGAAAAATTAAAAAGGTGAGAGCACAAAAAAAAAAAATGTGGGAGCACAGCTCCAGTCAGCAGAGGATACTGGAGGTGAGCCCGGGACAGGAAGACGTACCCATCTCCTGTGAGGATGGGGTATTGCCACACATATGCACAGGTGGCAAGGTTCCCTGGGACCACATGCCGCCACAGAACAAGTGCAGGTGGTGTGAAAAAAGATTTCGAGGGATAGGATGGATAGAAGGCAGGTGCGGACAAGAAGTTCAGAGGAGAGGGCGCGCGGGATGGGGGGACATGGTGTCCAAAAGTTGGCAAGCGGAAATTGAAGGATTACATTTACTGAGTCCCTAGGGTGAAGCAAGTTAGAAAAAGAACAAGGCAAAGGCTACTGTGTAGTCAGTCACCTCTGGTCTCCCTTGCCCCTCATGACTGCCCCCCACACCCACGCGTCTCACACACACATACACACACACACACAACCTTGGTGCCGCCAAGGATACCCACCTTTGCCAGGGGCGCACTCCTGCTGGTCGCCAGGTCGCGCAGACTTGCGGTGGCGCTGCCCACGGCCAAGGGGAAGCCCGGGGAGCTCGGGGCGCTACCAGCCGCACTGCCCACCGCGCTGCCCCCGCCACCCGCGAGCTCAGAGGCCGCCCCCGATCCTGGGCCAGGGCGCGCGGGTGGGCTGCCGCCAGGGCTAGTGCCAGCGCGGGGCCGCTGACGGATGCCGTCCAACAGGCGTACCAGCAGGATGTTGGCGGGCAGTTCGTCCACGCCGCAGCCCACCAGGATGCGGCACTCAGGGCAGCGCAGCTCGTGGCGCGAGCACACGATGCTCTCCAGGCAGCGGCGGCAGAAGGTGTGCTGACACGGCAGCACTTTGGCCGTGGTGTCCAGGCGCTCCAGGCACACGGAGCACTCCAGCAAGTCCAGCAGGGACGACTCGTCCATGTCCTCTCCAGACGCCGCGGCCGTGGCCGCCTCCCGCCGCCGCCACCGTTCTCCCGGCTTGTCGTCGTCGCCCTCGCTCTGCGCAGCAGCGGCGGCCGCCTTGGACGCACACAGCCAGGACGCTCCGAGCAGCATGGGGGAGGCGCCGGCGGCGGCCGCGCGCAGCTGCCTAGGTCCTGGGGCTGGAGCGGGGCCCGCCGCAGGCAGCGAGCATCAGGATGGCGTCCAAGCGGCCGCAGCGAAGCCAGGCTCCGCCAGGACTTCCTTCACCCCGGCTGGCGGCCCGAAGCAGGGCCACGGCGGCGCAAAGTGGCGCGCCGACCGGCCTGCGTAGCGGGGACCAGAGTTCCACGCCCCGCGAGCCAAGTGCCGGCCAGCAGAGCCCACCAGTCCTTCGGGGAGCCCGGCGCCCGTGGCTCCCGGTTACACCCGTGCTGCCCAGGGTCCGCCCTGCGCAAGGGTCCAGGGACGAGGCTGGGCACGACACTCAGCCCGCTCTGTGCTCAAAGTGGCCGCCAGCGGCCCGGAGCCCCGCAGCAGGAAGTACAGGGAGCAGCCGGTCGGGTCCCCAGGGATGCCGGGGCGCAGCGTGCGCGCTCCCTCGCGCCACTGCTGAGCCGCACCGCCCCAGCTGTGCCTCCATGCACCCAGGGCCAGCCCGCAAGTCGCTGTCCCCAGCGGGTTCAGCCAGACCCTTCCTCTTCCTCCGCCGCGAGCATGTGCGCGGCGAGCGCGCGGAGGTCACGGTCACTGAGGGGCGCAAGAAAGGAGCCGCTGCACCCGCTGGACCTTCCTTCGCCTGGGTGCACGCCGGCAACTAGTCCTGCCCTTTAGGGCACCTCCAGTGTTCCCAGGAACTCCGAGCGTTCGCTCCTATGCAGGTTGGGCCCTATCCCTTCCCGGTTTCCCGAGTCTTCCCTTCGGCTCTCCGTGAACCTCAAACAGGGATGTTTCCTCCCCACGCTGCAGCGAAGGAAAGTTTGGGCTGTGTTATCTCGACTGCCTTCCTTGCGAGCTCCGGCGAGCTGCTTGGGGACATAACCAACACCCGGGCATCCTCCTCGACAACTCCGCGGAGCGCTCCAGGTCCGTTCCCCTTTCCAGGCGGCGCGCAGAAGTGACAACCCTGGAGCTGGGGGCGTGGGTGCCGGGGATCCCCGCGAAGCAGGAGGGGGAGGTGCTGGGGTTGGCAGGGGCACCCAGGACCGGCTCCGGTTCCTCCCGGCAGCTGGCCGCCCTCTCTGGAATCGCGAGTCGGAGGCTGGCGCCGCTGCCCACCAGACCCGAAGCCTGGCGCAGGGCACCCGGCTCCCCGCCGCGCCCGGGCCGGCGCAGTGCGGGAGACCCCAGCGCCCACTGCGACGCCGTCTCGTGAACCCCGCTGCAATTTCTCCTCAGGAGGTGCAGAGGAGGAAGAATTTGCGCTCTCCTTCCCGACGCCCCGGCTTCTGCGAGCGTCAGAGGAACGGAAGTACGTACGGAGGACCGGGAGCAGCTGGGAAGTTTGGCGGTGGGCAGGGGTCGACTGCAAAGATTCCCTGCAGTGCGCTGCCCCCTAGTGGCCGCAGTGTGTTCCCAGCACGCCGGGTTTCCATTGGCGCCCAGCATAAACCGTGGTCCAAGGGCTGCAGGCTTCAAAGCCAGGTAGGTAGGTACAGTAGGTAGTTGTCAAGGGCAACGTCAGAAGAGGCGTTCAGGGCCCGCCTGGCAGTCAGGCTGACCGGTGGCTTGTGAAGTTAAGTGTAACTTGTTTTAACTTTTCATGGAGAAAGTAATATTTGTTGAGACTTAAAAGCCAAGAACGTGGCTGTGCATTATTTTATATAATCCTCTAAACAGCCCTGTGAAATCGTTATTTTAACCTCACTGTACATGTGAGGAAGGTACAGCTGATAGTTATGAAATCATTGAGGCTGAATTTTGTTAGCTTTTGTATATCCAGAACCCAACACATAGAAAAGATCACATTCTGTTAGAACATAAGCTCCCTATAAGCTACATGTTTTTACACAGTAATATCCCCAGTGCCTAGGCACATAGTAGGTTCTCAGTAAATATTTGTTGAATTAATGATAAAAGGTCTCAGAATCATCCATCACCTAATGGTGATTTGAACGTGCAAATCTTAGCATCCCAATTCCAGGTCTCCTGAGCTCATATCAGGCTGCCAGTTCCTGGAAACTTTGCTACTGGTGGCAGCAGGAGACCTTCCGGCCTACTCTGTGGACATCCCTCAGTAATGTGGATTTCCGTAATATGCGTTGTTCGCATCAGCACTGGCAACTGTGCGAGATGGAAGGCATCCCTGAGCTGCCTGGCTAACCAAAATCTGGGAGCAGACTCCCTGAAAGGGCCAGAGGAAGGGGACGCACAGCCCAGTGCACACAAACGCCTTCACATCACCCTCCCTTTACTCTCTGACCCTGGCTCAGGAACAACAAAGGGGAATTTTCAAAAGGACCCGAATTTTGGATCTGCTTGATCCAAAAGCAGATGGCACAGACACAGGACATAAAGGGGAGAATGCAGAGAGAGCCCTCAGACACTGGGAAGGCCACCAGAGAGCAGGCTTGGCTGTGATGATATGCCCTGGGGGCTTTTGGTTGTGAGCAACAGAAAGCAACTTTAGCTAGGTGTTTCAAAAGAGCAGAATAGATTATGAGAATCAGGACCCCTGGCTGAGAACTAGGCCAGATGACTGCAGATGGCCCCCAGTGAGTCTTGCTCTCCACCCTTCTCAATGTGATGACATGCTCCTTTCCTCTTGCACCAGCCGTCTCTACGTCCCAGCCCACATGATGAAAAACATGGCCGAAGTTCCAGAAGCATTTCAGCCACTGACACAAGGCACTCCACTGACATTGTCACAGGCTGGAAGTTTTAAAACCTTATTCAGCCTAGCTTGGCCCAGATGGTCACCCTCTGGACCGATGTGTGCTGGCCACAGGAGCAGGATCACCTGAAACCTGGCAGCACCCTCAGGAGTCACACAGAAGGAGAAGTGAGAATTTCCAGAACAAGTGGTATGCAAGACAGACAGAACAATACGAGATGCCCATGCCAGGGTGCCAGAATCACCCCCTCTGTCCTCAACTTCCCTCTCTTTTATGCATACCTGGGGCCACACAAGAGCAAACACAGGGCAACTGAGCCCCGCCTTTCTCAGACCTCCTTTGCTTCCACTCTCTCCCTTCAGCCCCTGCCTTAACCCACTCCCACAGTATAGACCAACTGGGCAGGGTATGGAAATGAATGAGGCAGGTCTAGGCTAGACTACAGAGCATGGTGGGACTGCCGTGAGCTGTGCCTGCGCCTTGCAAAGCGGGTAGCTATGGCAGCCCCAGCCAATCACACACTGCCTTGAGGAAATGAGAGTGCAGTATTGCCAGAAGTTTCTCCTTCTCAAGAGAAGTTGAAAGGCCTGCTTTTTATGTGAGATCTCCTAAAGTTCAACAATTGGCAACCAATTCAGCTCTCAAAAAAAACACCATCTTAGCCAAATAAAATGAATGCATGGCCAAATTGGCCGAAAGGCCACCAGTTTGCAATTTCTGGTTGAAGTAGCCAAGTAAAATGTACTGCAGTGTAAAGGAATTTAAGGGTGTGAACTAAATAGCTGAAGTATTACAAATACAGTTTTATATTACTCAGTTAAATTTGCACATGTTCAATAAGTCAATAATATAAGTAAATGATGGAGAAAACCTGGCTTAACAGCCATTCATAGGAAAAGATCTTGGGAATTCAAGAGACCACAAGCATACTATGAGCCAACATGAGTCATCAGTGTAGTATGGCCGCCTAGAAAAGTAATGAAATCTTATGACGCATTAATGGAAGTTAACGGTCGGGATATGGAAAGAAATAATCTCATTGTACCTCGGGCTTTTCAAACCCCATTTGTGGGATTGCTTTCGACTCTGGAGGCAACTATTAATGACAGGGTGGTAAGGGATCGAGAGGCCTCCTCCACAAATTTAGGATGAAGGAAGACAGCATGTCTGTCTGAAGAACAGGAAGCTCAGAGGAGACAGGGTGAGTGGCTGCATGTCAGGGTTTTTGGCTGCCCAAGGTCTGAACTCCTTCTTAGATTTGGGTGATTCTCCACTTGGTGAAAGTCATATATTTGTTTTTCTAGCCAGGGTGTGGGCATGTGACTCAGGCTCAGCCAGTTGACACCCACCCCTTTGCCCTCATCCCCTAAGAGGTGGAATGAAGGTGAGAGACGCAGCATCATGGAGTCCCAGATTCAGGGGCAGGTGGGAGAGGATGGCAGGGCCAGCAGCAGCAATACCCAGAGTCTGGTGCCCCCAGATAATATCTGGGGAGAGGGTCTGACTGTTGTCACCAGACCAGCCCCAGGCACGATGGGGTGGTGAGCCTGGGCTGTGGCCTCTGCGGCTTTGCCAGCCTTCCTGGTGATCCTGTGGGTTTCTCAGTTTTACTTGTTATTTCCTTTTTGTTAAATCAGCCAGAGTCGGTTCTGTTGTTTGCCACAAGGAATCCTAATCAATACACATTATTAATTATCAGAGACCAATGAAGGCGTTCAATTTGAGACAGTTGTCACCATGCTGAACAGCAACTCCTCTTGGCCTTCGTGCTGGAAAGGTATCAGAGTGAGCCACTCAGAGCCCCATTCATTCATTCAACAAATAGTTCCTGAGTGTGTTCTACACACCAGGCACTTGGTGAGAGCAGAGCCCACAGACCAAGACAGGCAGTGTGGTGCAGTGAGTAGAGCCTGTTTCTGGGGGGCTAGAACCACAGCTGGCCCAACTCAGGCAAGTGACATCACTTTGTCAACCTCAGTGATGTCTTCTGTAAACTGGAAGATGAAAATACTTCATCTCCTTAGAGGCATGAGATCCTTGAAATCTCTAAGATTGAATATTTGTTTAGCCTTGTTATTATGGGGAGAACTAAAATGAATTAAAGTTAGGGAGGCAGATTTCAGCTAAACATAGAGAAGGGCTTTTTACAAAGCACTGGCCATCCTATGAAACAGGAGCCCCTCACTGAAAGAATTCAAGCATCATTCTGTCTATAAGGAATCTTGAAGAAGAGATCAATTTTGACCTTTTCTAGCCCTCCCACAAAGCACTTCTGTAGTGGACATATGGTACTGGTCAGCCCAGCACCCCTTCTTTTGGGGAACCTCCTCATCCCCAGTCCATGCAACCCTTGAAGAGGACCAATCACTGCCCTGTACCTGTGTCCCCAACAAGCCCTGTGGCCAGGCTGGTCATTCAGAATCGTTCACCCTTGAGATGGTTAGTTCAGGGCAGGCATGTAACTAAGCAGCACCAAGCAGCTTGTACCCTGAAATGTGGCGTGTAGATATAGATATTGAGGGGAAGGGGAAGGTCTCTCTTCCTGTTGATTCTGAGCCTTAAAGAAGCAGACCCCACGATTTCAGTGGCCACCTTTCCTGCCATGTAAGAAGGCTAGCTGGAGCATAAGTGAGAGCAGTGGCCATGGGAGAGAGAAGGTTGGGGGAGGAGGAGTAGCAAAGGCAAGGGAGGAGGGGAGAGAGCAGAAAGAGGAGGAGGGAGAGAAGGAAGAAGAGAAGGGGAAGCAAGAGAGAGTCCCAAGGATATCATCTGACCATTTGAGTCCACAGATGAAGCTTTGACTAAATCATGTATGAGCCATTATAATCTTGCTTTTGCTTAAGCTGGTTTGAGCTGAATTTCTGTCACTTGCAGCCAAATGAACTTCAGCCAAAGCACGCCTTCCTGTCACTGCCCTGACCCCATCACTTACCTAGGTGCCCAAATTTAGAACAAGTCCACCTTGAAAGCTTCCGCCACCTCAGTCCCTCACGTATACCTCGTTACCAATTTTTGCAGCTTTCTAACATAATAGCCTTTTAGCCCCCAGATCTCTCCCATTTCCATTTCCATTGTCACCAGTTCTACTTCTCACTGTCTAATTGGACTACGGCTCCTCTGTCCTCAGCCTCCTCCGTCCTCCACCCATCCGTCTACACTATGGAACCAAATTTGGTCCCTGACTCTCCTCCCTTGTCTACACTGCGGAGCCAGCTTTGCTCCCAGACTCACCGGACTGTGCCTTCTCCCTGGCTCCATCTTCCAAGCTCCTTCCCAAACCTGCCGCTACCTGCCCACCTCTGTGTGTAAACTCGGCTGCATCTTTCTACTCTTTGTTGAAACTCCATCTAGCTCACAGACCACCTCCTCCAGGAAACCTTTCCTGATTGCCTCTCTTTTGAATCCACTTGGCTCTTTTTTCTTGCGTCTTTCATGTTCTGCTTTACCTTATATTTATTTTGTAATGGTCTTGTATCCCCTACCAGCCCACAAACTCCTCAAGAGCAAAGACTGCTTTATTGGTCTTCAAGACCCATCAAGAAGTGCCCTAGGTATAGTAGATGTTTGCTAAACATCTGCAGAGTTGGGCTCAACTGAGTTGGAAGAAGCTGAACCAGTTGACCTCTAAATTCCCTCTCGCTCTAAAACTGTATGAGATCATAATAAATGCTTCAAGCATCCGAGATCTGGTTTCTATTGTACTTCCTTTTTATAAAAAGGAATGAAGCCCTCAAAATGAATTTCGCATCGTATGTGTTGAGAATGTGGGCATGCGGTCATACGTGTAATAGCAAGACTCCTAGTAGCTATGGAATGCACCATTTCCAGGACTTAGACTATCTGCATCTGTAATGAATAGAAAGAAGGCAGGCAGGAGGCACACCCCACCACACCATCCACAGGCCTGGGACCCTCCCAGCAAACACCTAATTTTTGACATCAGGTCTCTCTTCTCTGCCAAGCACATGGACTTCTCTCCACTCAACACCCGCCCCACCAATTCCTTATCTCTTGGTCCGTTCTCATGAGCATGCCCCCCGATATCATTAGCCCTTCATATAGGTGAGTGCTCTTTAGGCATGTCGGGCACTGTCCTCAGCCCCAGAGACTCAGCAGGCAGAAAGTTCACAACCCATCTTTGGGACCTGCAGCCTATTTGTGAACTTCAACATGTTAGTTACCATGAAGGGCAAAATGAGAGAATCAGCCAAAAGCACTCGAGGGTGGAGCCTGCAGCCTGGTAGGTGAACTGGACTTGCCTGGACTGAAGCAGGGGAGTGGGGGTGGGGGTCAGAGAAAGGACCCCCAGGGCAGGGAGAAGAACTTCTGCAAGGTCAAAGGTACAGCATGAGGAGGAGAAAAGAGACCTCATTGGCAGGAGAATGGGGACCGATGGGTTTGGAGGGTAACTCAGAGGCATGGAAGTGCCAGAAAGTCAAGCTAAGTGCATTGGCTGAACCCTGGAGGCCCTGCGAAATGATCGAGGGTCTCTTCGAGGGCATTGTGATGTTTTAGGAAGGCTTAGCTGGGCAACCCTGAATGCAGTCATTTGGGGCAAGAAGAAATCCTTGGGAGACACAAGATTAGAACTCATTGTTTTAAAAATAACATAGGTGAGAGCACGTGCTCTTAACAACAAGGTTGCTGGTTTGACTCCCAAGTTGGGATGGTGGGCTGCACCCCCTGCAACTAGATTGAAAGTGGCAACTGGACTTGGAGCTGAGCTTGTGCCCTCCACAACTAAGATTGAAGGACAACAACTTGACTTGGAGCTGAGGGGTCCTGGAAAAACACAATGTTCCCCTTCCCCAATTCCCCAACACTGTTCCCTTTCCCAATTGGCCAATAAAATCTTTAAAAATAAATAAATAAATAAATAAATAAATAAATAAATAAATAACATAGGGTGTACAAAAATGTGAGTGTATGTAATGCCGCTGAA